AAAAGGAAACTCTGACTTTCATTGCCCCCTCATTGCCACCTCAGTATGTTTAGAGCTATAGATTATGGTCATTTTTTTTTTTACAAAAAAACAAAGGACTACAAACTCATTTTTCTTCCAGTTGAATTACTTAAAAATAATCCACCCCCCCTTTTCCCCTCCCTCTCCCTCCCAACAAACTCTAAAGGGAAGTTCCATCCCTGAATTAGCGTTTTTAGTATGGTTGTGAGGGAGTGCTTACTGAGAAAATTTTAGTCAGAATGCAGATTGTTTACATTTGAAAGGGGAAAGGTCAATTGATTACTTATTTAACTTTTCCATAAAAATATGAGAAGAAATATTGCTCACAGTTCGCCTCCAGCGCACACATAGTTAGTGGTTGCACTTTTGCCCTTTTTTTTCTCTTTTACTTGATGTAGATAGAATAAATGGAAAGACCATGGCTTGAAGTTAGGCACCAGCCTCTGCTACTTTTTAGACAAGTCTGTCGTCTGGATATTTGAGCTCTGAGGCTTGGTTTCCTTATTGGTAAAGTGGAATCAGTGATAACCACCTTGAAAAGTTGGCACACAGTAGGAGCTCAAATAAATGTTAGCTGCTAGTTTTCTGATTATGGTTCTTCTTTCTTTACCATTTAGACAGAATTACTTTTTTCTCTGGAGTATTCTTCTTTGAGTCATGGAGTTGTAAAGAGTACTTACTATGTGCTAGTTACAGTTCTGAGAGTTTAACCTGAATTAATTAATGTAACCTTCACACCCTGTTTACAGATGAAGAAACTGAAGCACACAGAGATCAGAGATTAAGTAATTTTCCCAAAGTCACACAGCAATTAAGAGGCACAGGTAGGATTAAAATCCTGCCTGTCTGGCTTGAGAATCTGCACTCTTCACTAATCATATACTGCCTCCTTGTGCAGGTAGAAGGGAAGAGGATTTCTAGCTATTCTTAGATTCTTAGCCTGGCTTTCTTGGAGAACTTTGCTCGAAGGTGAAAGCCCTCTCTAGAGGTGAATAGTCTCGTTAGTTGAATTGATTTTTCCTGCACTTTTGACTTCAGACCTGTAATCCCTGGGAAGGCTTTTTGTAGATGAATGGTTTGGGATATTGTAACATTTGGCTTTATATACTGAATACTATGTATCACGTATGGAAAGTATGATTTTCTGGACTTAAACTAGCTCTTAAGTTTCAGATGAAGTTAAACTGTTAATTGTATGGTAAGTACAGAGAGAACCAACATTCAGAGCTTTTAGTGAGAATTATGGGTGATCATTACAGTGTTTTGATTTTTAAAATGTTGCCTTTTGTGAGCTGTATTCATCAACTCCTGAGATAACTAGAATTGAGTCAGAAAATTAATTCCTTTAAAAATATAAAGGCTTTGGTGTCTTTCTGGAATTCAGACTGAATTTGAAACTTAAGGGTGAAAAAAATGAAAATTTGGACTAATAGAAATAATAAAATGGGTCTTAATTTTTTGCTTCAAAATATATCTTACCCATTAAAATTATTTCATTTGAAATTGTTAGGACTTAGTTAAATAGAAAATCATTTCCCATGTTCATTGTTTTTCTTGAGAAATACTTATATGAGGAATTTAACTTTGTGATCATTCTTTTTTACAAACATAGAGCCTTTCTGAGTCTCTATTTTATCCCAATACACTTTGTAGATTCAGTGGTAAAATATACTTGACAGCTTACAAGGTTCTTGTCTACATTCAAAGTGTTTGATTTTTTTCCTAGATAATCTATTACTTTAAATGTTATTTTTACATTTCTTGGGTGAAAAAAATTGCAAGCATGTGATAGTTTAATTATTAAATAATATGTGTTGACAACCATTTTATTTTATTTTATTTTGGAAAGATGAGCAAATAAGTGCTTTTTACTGTCCAGATTATGGTTGCACTTCTAATGTTGGTGATCTTCGATACAGTTATAAGAGAGCATTTCTATTATAAGAGACAGCATTTCTTTCCTCCTTGTTTCCTTTCTCTATCTCTGATGCTCTCTGCTTCTCCTCCTTCCTTCCCCCCCTTTTTTTTGCTAAAATAAAAAATAATCAATGTATCCTGTATTTTGTACAATTTACATATTGAATATGTACAAACTATAATTCACAAATTACACTATTGAGTTTCCTTGAAAATTTGATGATATCCAGATAGTTTTCACGTGTGAGTACTGAATATTGTATTGCCTAATTGTATTTAGTGACCACTCTAGTTCCTGTCGAATAGGTCTTAAAGTAAAGGGCATATACTGCAGTTGAGTGCTGAATCATTGCAGTTGTCTTAGGTTTTTGGTCTTAGGAAGATTCCCCCTGGGTTTATTGTAGAAATAGAAAAAATCCATCTGTTTTTCTTCCACTTCAGTTTCCTATCTTTCCTCTCATCCCCTATGAACTAATTCTTTGCTGGCTAGATACCCTTTTTCTCCTCCTTACGCTGATGAAAATTTAAGCCTTTGTTGCCATACTTTCAAAACACCTTGCCTGGTGTCCCCATATGGCCGCGGAAAAGGGGGTAGGCGTGTTAAGCTCTCCTAAGTAGGCTTGGGGACAGAGCGGGTCGGTGTAGTCCACTGCAGCTTTACTCTGCGCCACAGAACCGAGTACATCCCCTCAGCAGGAGACAAGTGTCCAGATTTACCCTAGGCACAGAGAGTAGATATGTGTGGTAAGTTCAAGGGGGTACTGGCCAGACTTTGCAGGAATGGGATTGGTTATTACTACTTGGCCTCGCTGGAACCCATACTATCAGTTCTCTGCCAGGTATCACTCATTAGCTTTTATGGTGTTGGAAATGGGTAGTTGCAGCCCTTTTTCTTAAAATAAATTTACATTGCCCATATGCTGGAAATTTAAACCAGTTAAAATAGTTTATATTTGCATATACATAGACATTACTTATTGGATATACTTTTTTTCACATATGACCTGGAATTAAGTGATTCACTTGTATCATGTTGTTAGTTTGTGTGGGTAAGATGATTTTTTTTTAAACCTTGTTCCCCCAATTTTCTAATACCTTGCTGTGACAGAAAGTCATTAGGAGAGTGAATGGCTCTTTTTGGCAGAATTGACTTAAGCTGTACTTCTTCAACAGAAGTGATTCAAGTTTCAGGGAACAGTGCCCTGGATTTAATACTGTATGGTAAAATCCCAAATAATCCGGATTGTTTTGCTGTCTCCAACAGCAATTAGGAGAATGGGGAAAAAGTTATACAAAAGAAGTATCAGGTTTAATTAAAAAGTAATTTCCAAGATGTGTCCTGTAGTGATACTTCTTGGTTACTGTCCAACACCTTATGCAACAGTATACAGGGGTCACTGATGACTTAGTGACCCTCAGGTGCTTCCCTGTCCTTCAAAGAAGGATGAAAACGTGTCAGTACACCGTTCCCCTCCATGGAGAAAGGCGTGCAAATCTGCAGAATACTTCCTACTAACAAAAGTTGAAATCAGACTGGTTTCCTTTCAGTATATTTATCTTCCTTGGGATTTGATTTCATTGTGGGTTTGTTGCAATTGAATAATAAGTCTTGAGGGGATACTTTTCAAAAGGGAAGAATTGTAGACCTTTAGGAGAGGTGGTGTCTGATAGGACGGGTTCCTGGTGTCCGGAGGTGGTAGCTCCTAGTGAGGTAACAGAAGGCTGGTGGATTTATAGTTTCCCCACTTCAATGAGTAGAGGTTGAGATGCTGTTTTTTGTTTGTTTGTTTTTAATTCTCACCTGAGGATAGGTTTTCCATTGCTTTTCAGAGAGAGAGAGGGAGGGAGGGAGGGACAGGCGGACATCGGTAACGTCCATTCGAGAGAGACAGATTGATTGGTTGCCTGCCACACTTGCCCCGACCAGGGCTGGGATTGAGCCTGCAACCAATTTAGGTGCCCTTGGCTGGAACCGAACCCGAGACCCTCAGTCCATGGGCCAGTGCTCTAACCACTGAGCAAACCAGCTAGGGCCAGAGGTTGACCCTAATCTGTAATCCTAGACAGTAGCATACTTGCACAGGAAAGAGTGTGGCTGGCAGGCCAGACTCCAGGGCATAAATGTTTTTCGAGTTTGATTTTGTATAGCATTATTTTTACTTTGTGGTAAGTGGAAATATGTCTGTGGTAGTCTTTTTCCTAAAAATTTCAAAAGGCTTATAAATCTGTACAGCAAGTAGTGTGGTTTATGTAAAGATTACTAACCCTCAGTTCATGAGATACCTCTGTTCTTGTCCCATTTCCAGTAATAATAACCTGGGTAATTTTTGAACAAATTCCTTGACCTTCCGGGTCTGTTTTCTCATCTGTACAGTTGGCGTTGAGGGTTGTGATCTGTCAGTTTGGGCCAGATCAAAGATTCTGGGGTTCTCAGACGTGTTGCTTATGCCACAGAAACACTGTATCTATAATGTATGTCATAGGCACATGCTTTTTTTCCCTCCATTTGCTGTAGTAGCTCAGAAAGAACCCTAATTGTATGCTTTTTTTAAATTGATTTTTTTTTTTAGAGGGAGAGAGAGGAAGGGGGAGAGAGACAGAGAGAAAGAGAAAGGGAAAAGGAAAGAGAAACGGATTGAATCTGCAACCTTTTGGTGTACGGGGAAGACGCTCCAACCAACCGAGCCACGGTGGCCAGGGCGAACCCAGATATTTTGCTGAGGGGAGTGTATTAGGGCTTGTGAGGGAGAAGAGCAGTGGGGAGGCTGACATTCCACAGGCCTCTAGCTTGGGTGGGAGGGGAGGGAGAGCATGGTCCTGGGCAGCGGGGGAGAGTGCAGGGCCTCATTGCCCTGCTTCGTTTTGCGTAGGGTTCTGGTCAGATGAGAAATAACTCAGGATCAACATAAGGCAAGTAGGAAGAGGTTATTCCGGTGGAGAGGCTTTTTGGAGAGAGGCTATACTTGGCTCAGGCTAAGGGGAAGAGGCGATTCTTTCAGGGGGAAAGAGGGAGAATCCTGTTTACCTTGGTTGGAGGGATGCATGGTACTTGTTCATACTTTAGGGCTTCTGATTTAAATGAAAATATGAAGTTCTGTCGATAATTATCTTGGTTCCTGAACACCACCAGGAAAAATGTAGGGTACTCATATTCTGCTGCTTCCTCACATTTGCTAAAAATAGCAAGAAAACAAGGGGTGGGGGTGGGAGGAGAATTGTACCTTGTCTTTTATAGTGGGCTTTAGGGCTGCAGCAAACATTGTCCATCTCGTGTTGCCCAGGGCCGGTTGACTGTTCTGGCTGGCTAGGTACTGTCTCCCCCGTCCTTATGTGTGCACCCCTTTAGAACTTTGTGCTTGGTCAAGGTTTTGAGAGGAGCTGTACTTCCCTTCTACAGCCTTTATACATGCTCTCAGGATCCACTTTTAGAAGAGATGCAAGATGGTTGAACTTCCTTTGCCTATGTCCTAGTCTCTTTTCAAAAATGATACTAAATTTTGTGTTTTAGATTTTTAAAAAATTTGTCTTTCTGATTAATAGTAGATCGAAAATAAATCTTGAGCTACAATGTTTTAATATTTTATGAGGAAAAAGTATTGCTGAGAATGATTGGTCAGGCATATAGAAATACTTAGTTTTCTGTGATTTTTACATAGTGTTTCAGTTTATTTTCTGGTTTTAATAGAACAAGTTGAAATCATCGCAGAAGGATAAAGTTCGTCAGTTTATGATCTTCACACAATCTAGTGAAAAAACAGCAGTAAGTTGCCTGTCTCAAAATGACTGGAAGTTAGATGTTGCAACAGATAATTTTTTCCAAAATCCTGAACTTTATATACGAGAGAGTGTAAAAGGATCATTGGACAGGAAGAAGTTAGAACAACTATACAGTAGATACAAAGGTGAGTGTTTACTTGTAACTTTAAATATTTTGAACCAGATGTTTCAAAGTTACATGCTACTCATGAGAAATAATATACAGAATATTAGTGTAGGTACTTGTATATATATGTATAGTACATGGAATGTATGATGTGGGTGGATATCTCAACAGAACTCTGTAGATCTTAGAATTATTTCAAGAGAGTTATTTCAAGAGAGTTAAGATAAATTATTTTACTCTTTCCACTTAAATTTTTTCTTAGCCTCTTTATTTCCTCCCCTGTGATCGAATTTGAGAATAGGGGCTAGGGGCCTGTCCCCCCCCCCCCCC